TTAGATCACGCAACCGTAATTATAACCTTCTATCTTCAGGTTTATTCAAATAATACTTCTTATCATAATCCAATAGTTCGAATGTGTCGCCAATACAATGAAATTCTTGTCTCGAATAGAAATATAGATATTTTCCATTCAACACTGGTCCATTTCCGGAGACAATTAAATTTCCACCGTAAAGAGACGAAAATATTTAATATTGTACCATTTTTTTTCTTTAATATAAATAAAATTCTGTTAACATGATAATTCATTGCATTACGTAGTTATATATTATTTTCTATTTAGTTTACTTTTCATTATATAACCTTATCTAGCTATCTAGCGTATATTGAATGCGTCTATACAATTTAGATCTTAGGCATACGTAGTGTTGGATTACAATCCAGTTTTGTACCGAACTACACGCTCCTAGTTATATTATTATATTGATTGTGATCTGTTTTGTATGCTAATAAATAAATAAAATTAGCACTAAAGAATAATAAACCGATTCTGTCAACATCTCTTTTGCAATGTCGGATGCAGGGAATCATGTAGACCTCTATTTAAGAAACGTATTCTTCCGTTGCCTTGTAAGTATATACTTGATCTCTGTAAGTTTGTGATACAACATCCAAATTTGTTCACCACGCAATGATCAGATAAAAGACTATCAGATCACAGCGAAAAATTAAAATATTGGTACTAAAGAGCAAATTGACGCTTTACCAAAGGAACGTATCACTTATGGCACAATTTTTTTTATAAATTATCCCTGGACTTGAGGAAAATGCCCTTATTTAAATTTAAAAAATCTATTATGTTACTGGTCAAGTGTTTTTATGACATCAGAGAATATTTATCTGACATTTTTTTTATATTATATAATTATTACTATTAATATATAATTATAATAGTGCATAAGACATGAAATTTCTCCTCCCGCGTACACTTAGGTTGTGGAATGAACTTCCTGCCGAGGTTTTCTCACGAGACTACAGCATGGGGTTTTTCAAGAAGGGTATATTAAGGTTTATTAAGGGTCGGCAGCGCGCACGTGACACCCCTGTTGCTTCAGGCGTCCATAGGCTACTGTAACCATTTACCATCAGATGGACCGTATGCTTGTTTGCCACCGTATCCAGTATAAAAAAAAAAATTACATTTATATTGTAGATTATTTAATTTTAATATACTCAAAATTTTCATGCTCGTAAATTAGGGCAATTAAACAGTTGCCATTAATATTATTACTTGGACATATTACCGAATATCAAACTGTATAATACGTATCATCATCATCATCGCAGCCCGGAAGACGTCCACTGCTGGACATAGGCCTCCCCCAAAGATCTCCACGACGATCGGTCCTGCGCTGCTCGCATCCAATGCCTTCCCGCGATCTTGACCAGATCGTCGGTCCACCTTGCTGGAGGCCTTCCCACGCTGCGTCTTCCGGTCCGTGGTCGCCACTCGAGGACTTTACTGCCCCAACGGCTATCTGTCCTACGAGCTATGTGCTGTGTATAATACGTATAATAAATAATAATTTAATTTAATTTAATCTCATCTCAAGCTAATATTTTATATTAAAATCCTTCAATATAACAAGAAGTGGATAGTGAGCAATTGCCTATTGATGTACCAGGTGATGTTCCATCTGAGGAGCCCATAGAAGGCCAAGGTGATGCCAGAGGCAGCAGCTTAAACTTTGAAAGCAGCTAGCATTAGTAGATAAAGTCAGAGCTAGACTGTAAGCTCAAGAAAGACAAACCAATATCACGGAGGAAATGCTACATACTATGAATAGGATAGCAGACACGAATGACAGTTAAACAATTATTCGTATAAACTAGCTGTTGCCTGCGACTTCGTCTGTATTTCCGTCGTTTTTCATAAGTAGCCTATTTCCTTCCTCACGGTTCAGTGGTTTTGATGTGTTGTCCTAACATTTCCCTTCTCTGCTCTGCTCCTATTGATCGTAGCGTTATGAAAAGTATACTATAACCTGTCCAGGAGTATGAAGAATAATTATACCAAGATTCATTAAAATCCGTCGAGTAGTTTTTGTTTCTATAACGAACATACGGTCAGACAGACAAAAATTTTACTGAGTGCATTTCTGACATAAGTATCGATCATTAATCACCCCCTGACAGTTATTTTAGAAATATATTTAATGTACAGAATAGACCTCTCTACAGATTTATTACAAGTATAGAAGAATAGATTAAAATGATCCAAGAACATTTAATAGGTGTGTGGTCTGGTTTATTTCATTTAATATGTGTCTCAAAATCAGTAAAATCTGATATACATGATATACATATGAATCAAATTGGAAGTCTGATGTAATTTTAAAGTTCACACAACAAACTGCTTTTCATTAAATATATATGTATATAAGGTAAGTGACATTAAAGAATAAATTTTAAAAATAAATCTGCCAGTCTGTTATGGCTAATCTTTGGAATAGCGAGACAATTTTGACGGAACTTTCACTTTCATATAGGTAATGTTATAAATTATAAGGAGTAACTTAGGTTACTTTTATTTATTTTAACAAAAAATAAACTATTCCACATGGAGTCATGGGTAACATATACCTATAATATATTATAAAATTATCATGTCCTTTTTACTATAACTACCAATAAAAGACACAAAAAATGAATATGTTTATTATAAAAATAAATGATTAAAACATAGATGTATTAAACATTTAAATGTTTCAATTTCTAAAATTGTGGTTTAGTATCTTCATTTAGTTCTTTATTATAATTGAAGATAGATTATGAGTATTACTGGCTTCATGAAAGTACATTGTAACCTCGGAAACAGTTTCTTCATGTAGAGATGGTATTGGCCGGTATGATTTAATGCTCAAGATGTTGCTACAAAGGCACAATGCACCCTATGTATGAGTATGGATCTAAATCTAGTTTTTAGAAGTCCAATTGTTCTCTCGAGGGCATTATGCATTCTCACATACAGTGTACATATCTTCTTATGGTCCTGGTATGGCATTTGTGATGGGAGATACTATTCCTCAAAGCATATCCACAGTCGCCTAAAAAAAGAATAATATATTATTATTTATTTAAGGAAAGATTTTTTTCTTTTTATTTACTTAGAGGCTTAGGATAACGAGAGTGAGCATGTCAGCTCTGTGTTGGTTACATATTTACATAACATCTAAAATTTTATTTAGTGTAAAGATAAATATTACCTTTTTAAACATTGATCTACAAATTTATAAATTAGTACTGATTGTTTAGATACAGGTTCTGATAGAGTACTTTGAAATTTTTTTAAATACATTTTGTTATTTATTATATGTATCATTTCATAAAAAACCTATTACACACTAATTGTTAGTGCTGACAATTAGCTTCATATCTTCCAGGGGCGAATCTACCTATGGGCTTTATGGGCTGCCCAGGGCCCCGTGAATACAAAGGACCCCTAGAAAATAATAGGCCATATTTAGATGAAAAGTCTATAATGTTAAAAAACCTATCATAACATTGACAACCCTGAGATTAATCAACCCATGGATGTGGGCATCTATCAAACGGAATGAGCAACACCCTGTCACTTGCTTTTCGTCTGTGTATTTTTTAGTCGAGTAATATAATTAGGTAGGCCCCTAAGTTTTAGCCCAGGTCCCAGGTACAAATTCATGATCCACCCTTGATATCTACATTGTTAATGTTTAGATCTTACATGTAATGATGTTAATAGTTTCATAATAATATTTCATTCTTACTATGTAACAAATCCATATGGATTAATTCTTGCTAAAGTCCTCTAGATGTTACCTTAATAGATGATTTATCCAAATAAAGGAGTCATGAGTAGCTCCATCTTAGCCAGCATCCACACTTTTGATCTCCATGTCAGCAGTACTAACCTATAATTTTTTTTTCAGATTAATTACATGGATGTAGTTTGTTGGTAACACATGTGTAAGCATTGTGGTCATTTTAAATTATATATTGTTTGTATGTCAGTAGCTTTTGAGAAATATTTTGTGTCTAATATCTTGTTTTTTATTATATTTATGATTGTTGATTACATTACATATACCATACTATATGTATTCACACAAATCCTTAAACATGTCGACCAATATTTGTTTATAAAGAACATCTGCCTAATTACTACTTGACTTACTATATATATAAATAAATCTGCATTCTGAATGTGACAGTAAAAAAAAGAAAATACTATTATAATGTGCCTAATAAATGTATTAATAAAGATGTCTTATTTTTTATCCACTTACCAAGTGTACATTTAATGAATGGTATTGTTTTCTACGTATAATACCTCTCTTCATTATTAATGGGGCGAACAATGGCATCATATGTACAATCAATACAGTACGCCAATACTGTATTTAGAAACCTAAATATAATAAAAAATAAATTAATCAGTATTTCGTGAGGAACGAGGAACATTCATTATTGAAGCACATCATACCGTAAACGTAAACAAACAAAATGATTTTTTTTTATTTTGTTTAGCCTCTTATGGAAAGGCAAAGGGAATTGCGCCTATACAGTCATGTCTGCAGGTTTTATATTTCATCGATAGAATATTTTTCAAATAGTTTTTTTTTCAGTTCCGGACGCTTTGAACTGATAAATGAAACTCTTTATTATGAAATAGCCAGTCACTATGTGCATAATGTGTTCGTATGTAATACGAAATCGCCAGGCAGTTCGCAAGGGGAAAAAGAGTTCGGTTTGGGGTAGGAAATTGCCTCTTAATGTTATTTAATAACGACTGACATATTAATATCCAATGAGCAAGTAATTGCCTTAATATTGCTACGAAACTCGTCATCATCTGTGCGTGCAATACGAGGTTTTGGAGCCAAATTGATAAATCATTCATTAATATACGAGAATTTTTATATCTTTGCCTGAAATCGGATAACATTGACGTTTTAAGCTTGGCAACTCCAGCAGATTATACGATCGATTATTTTTAATAATACAACTGAAGAACTTGCATTGTCTTTGTCTTGTTCTTTTTGGTTTACTACCAAAATGTATTAAATTGTTTTAAATTCGACTACCTTTTCCAATAAGAATATATTTATACAAAAATCTTAATATGTCAAGCGATTGTACTGAATATATTATTAAAATATCTTCGCCCTGAATACGCAGGGTAAGTGCATAAATAATAATTATATATATAAGAGCTCTCATAAATGGGAATATAATGCAAGATAAAATATTCATAAAAAAAGGGCGGGAAATATAAAATATGGTGGGCGCATTTTTTTTACCAGTGAATTATTAATATTTAAATATTGTTTAGATAAGTTTTAAATAGTATCTTTAATTTTATTACTTTGCATTAAAAAAGATACTAGTAAAAATGAATTATCTTGTCTATACAATGATTTTAAAGATAAGAAACTTCTAATATATCTTTAATAAATAGTATAAAAAAATATGTAAGAAAATTTCACTCTTAGTTAAATAAGTAATCAGGACAATGATCACAGACACTCTATTGTCAGTTTACTATCAGTCCCATGATGCTGCTCCTTATATAGTTCATATTTAAAAGACGATGAAGCGGAGGTATCTTGTGTGTCTGATGAGTGAGGGGTGGTGAGGGTTATATAAGGAAAATACAGACATAATATAAAATGCAACTAATATGACAGCGAAATATAAAAAAATATGATTATAAAATTAAAAAATAGTTTAAAAACCTATCAAGGAGTTCGCTACAGATGATAAAACTATGCATCACCCAATTGACTTTGCCCATTATCTTAAGAAAAGTTTTACAAAAATGTGGTCGATGGTAGTCTTAAAAAAATTGGTAGGAATAAATTATCCTTATTTTTTTCACAATATAAAGATGCAAATTTCCTTATAGATAGTGCATATTTAAAGAATCATAACTATAATGCTTCAGTACCTTTAATTTTAACAAGGAAGGATATAGTAAGGGTTGGTCCTGTTGACTTAGTCTGATGAGGAAGTCATAGAAAATATTTCTCTACTGTTAGGAAGTGGCAAATTATTAAAAGTTAGATATCTAAAAAGAAAGTCATTTGTTAATGGGAAATCTGAATTCAAAAAGACAAACTGTTGTCCTAACATTTGATGGACAGGTACTACCCAAAAGAGTTCTTCTATGCTATCCATATCCATTGATTTATATATTTACCGCACTATTGAGTTATAGACATAATAAGAATCAATGTAGATCAGTACCACATGGTTATAAATGTGGAAACCAATATTCAGTGAAATTAATTACATATTTAGTTCTAAGCAATTTTAATGCTCAAATCCATTATAGTAGTTCAAACAATAACAATTATGGTCTCATTACCATTCTCATTTCAGACTTATTATATATTCACAATTTATGCAGTTTAATAAATAAACTTTATTCAAATAAACTCAGTACAAGCAATTTTGAATAGTCATATTTTTGAAACTACCATTCATTCGGAATGCAGATTCATCACAAGAAGAATGAGCAAGAAACTTATGTATGTTGTTTTTCTGAATAGATGTTTGTTTTTAAATACTGACAAACCTACACATTGATTAAGAAAATGTCAAATCTATGTGTAACTGTGAAGTAGGTACATAAGGGCTATGTTATTGATGATGATGAGATTTTTCTGAATATAAAATGTACATTATTTTTTTATGTGTAGATAGCAATACGGAATGATGGGATCTAGCCAAGATTGGGGTCGCATTGAAAATGACGTTGGTGTTTTTACACAACTGATAAAACAGTTAGGTAAGTGCAACTCTTCAGTTTTACACTATCACTCTTGAAAATAAGGCCATAATTTTCTATATTTATAGTTTAGCTTACTGAAATTAGTGGCAATATGAATAATGACTAGTAGGCTAGGTTGTATACAACCTATCCAGTTATACCATATGCGCTGTAGCATGGTGTGGGTGACAGTTTGATTAACGTTTCGTTTCACTTTTAAAAGTTGCCGCGATTTACAAATTATGACTTAATATTTCAGCTGTACCACTACACACATTAAATCATTCATATCTGTATTAACTTACATGTAGCAATTGTTACATTTAAAATTAGTAACTGTCAGCCGCACCATGCTACAGCGCACAGAGTATAGGTAGGTCCAAAAGAAAGAGGACGATATTTGATGTCGAACCCAACTCGGATGGGCAGCGTTCGGGTAACTCCGGAATATCTTTTCGTCCAAATTAACGCGTGTCTCAAGACGAAGGTTTACGACCAATGCGTTGGCAGTGATGGCTTATGGCACAGAGACGAGGTCGTTAACTATGGGCCTTATGCATAAGCCCAGAGTCACTCAGAGGGCAATTGAAAGGGTTATGCTCGTAGTTTCTCTGTGTGATCGAATCAGAAAAGAGGATATCCGCAGAACCAGAGTGACCGATGTAGCCCGAAGAATTGCGAAACTAAAGTGGCAATGGGCAGAGCACATAGGTCATAGGACAGATGGCCGTTGGGGCAGTAAAGTCCTCGAGTGGAGACAGCGGACTGGAAAACGTAGCTTGGAAAATCTCTAGCAGGGTGGACCAACGATCTGGTCAAGATCGTTGGAAGGTTTTGGATGCGAGCAGCGCAGGACCGATCGTCGTGGAGATCGTTGAGTGAAGCTTTTGTTCAGCAGTGGACGTCTTCCGGGCTGAAACGATGATGAGGCTAGGTTAGGTTCTATAGCAAACGAGACTAGATAGAGGCGGCGCATCTCCCCCCGTTGGGCGGAGGTGGAGGAACTGAGTAGATTTCTCCCGGGGTCGCGGTCGATTGTGAACACGACACCGCGACACGGCACTAAGAGCGAGAAATAATGCTTTGGCTAATGGCTGAAGCTTTTGTTCAGCAGTGGACGTCTTCCGGGCTGAAACGATGATGAGGCTAGGTTAGGTTCTATAGCAAACGAGACTAGATAGGGGCGGCGCATCTCCCCCGTTGGGCGGAGGTAGAGGAACTGAGAAGATATCTCCCGAGGTCGAGGTCGATTGTGAACACTACACCGCGACACGGCACTAAGAATAGCGAGTAAGAATGCCGTGGACTTTTTCATGAGTAGGGGTTGTACAGACCCGCCCGTCCAACCCCTAAGACGGAAGGGTCGCAATGAGCGACTTTCCACACTTAAAGAAAGGTTCTATACCATATTTCTATACATTAACTAGGTATCGTATAGAATACGTTAATTATACACATCGCCGCTAATATAAAAGAGCTAAATTTTATGATTTTATATACAGTTATAACGTGTTTACAATTTTGTTGATAATTAGAAGAATACCAATGTTTAAATTATTAACCGGGTCTTAAATTGATTGATTGATTTAATATTTGTACGCTGGAAACAGCAGAATATGATAAAACATATATTATATATACATACCACCATTGTACATACTATATTCTGACAAATAAATATATTATTATTATAAGACGAATAATTTTATGGCAAATAAAAGTATTTACTTACCTCTCTCGATGTTCGTGTTTCTCTTAGCTCGCGACCACGGCTAGTGCAACCTAATCCAAACGTCGAGAGAGGTGTATATTAAACACGAAAGTTTAAAAATAACGAATACCAATGTGTTATAAAACTATTGTAATTTTTTCTTTGTTAGGTGTAAAAGGAGTACAAGTAGAGGGATTGTGGACACTCGACAATGGCATATTTGATAATTTAAGGTGGGTGGACCATGATTATAATTTCATTTAGTAATCTAAAGATTTTGCTGTTAATTATGATGTAGTAGTACCTAGTAGTACCTAGTTATTTAAATTTCAATTTACTTTATAAAGTTTTATATTACAGGCCAGTTCATGGACTCATATTCCTATTTAAGTACTTACAATATGAAGAGCCGACTGGTCGTGTGGTTACGGACAATCGTTTAAACAACATATATTTTGCTAAACAGGTTAATTTTCTTCTATATTTTTTTGTGATCATAACTTTGTCTTATAAACATGTGTCAATAATTTAATTTGAGTTTTTATATAATAAACATTATAAAAATTTCAGTTAATAAGAAATGCGTGTTCCACACAAATTATTATTAGTTTGTTGCTGAACTGTGCACACCCTGATGTGGATATTGGTCCAGAACTCACAAAACTAAAGGAATTCAGTATGCCATTGGACCCAACAATGCGGGGTTTATCACTCGGCAATACTTCAAGTATTCGGACGGCTCATAATTCTATGGCACAACAAGTAATGTATGGGGTGAATCGTAAAACTGCTTCAAAGGTAATTTTTACTATCAAGATTAATGTTTTGTTGCTACTAAGTGTGATTTTCATTTATAGTAGTAATTTAGTCATGAGTATGATTGTTTGTATCGGTCTGGGTGTTTTCTATATATAATATGTATCTATGTATTTACAAAAAAAAAATTATGTATACGTATCAGTTATCTAGTACCCGTAACACAAGCTCTAGCTAACTTAACTTGGGTCTAGATGGCTCTGTGTGAATTGTCCTGAGATTATTATATTTATGTAAAGTGATGGGAAATTCGACAAGTTGTTAATATTAGTTAATTTAGTACCCATGGGGGCATTGTTCTCTCATTTACGGGGTACCTCATTGAATCTTTAAGTTAACATGATTATAAGTCAATCATCTTAACTATACAGTGTCAATTATTTAATTTGGATATGAGTTGGCTTTTCTTTCCAGTATTCTCCGGTATTTATATTGTGGTATTTATTTTCAGAGCGGTAGCCCATATCACTTTGTAGGCTATATACCAATTGATGGGCGATTGTATGAACTGGATGGTCTCCGAGCAGGACCTATTGATCATGGTCCCGTACGTCCAGGACAAGACTGGCTTGATGTTGTCACACCCATCATTAAGAAGAGGATCAATGTGTAAGATGTTTTTATATTCATTGACAAAGATATAATGGTTTTTAATGAATTGTATTTTCATTTCTATGTTACATTTATAGATGACTATTGCTGTCCCGGCAAACGTTGTTTTGCCATATAAATTAATAACGCTATAAAAAAATAGGGGTTTAAGATAGAAGGGTGAAAATTTAGGATTGTATGTATTTTTGTATGTTGTATCATAAAAAAATAGAAACTAAAAATTTTGTCTAACAATAAATATTTAGGGGTGGACTACCCCTAACATTTAGGGGGATGAAAAATAGATGTTGGCCGATTCTCAGACGTACTCAATACGCTCACAAAATTTCATGAGAATCGGTCAAGCCGTTTCGGAGGAGTATGGGAACGAAAACTGTGACACGAGAATTTTATATATAAGACTAGTGTTAAGTAATTTCTAAAAAAATGTTATGGAAGATATTTTATTATATCACACACAACTTAAGGCATCATTTTTGAAAAATTGAGCATCACTTTTTTATTTTTTACTGTATTATTTTTTAGATATATTGAAGGAGAAATACGCTTCAATCTGATGGCTTTAGTCTCAAATAGGAAGATGGTATATGAGCGTCGTCTTGACCAGCTTTTGTCTGATACATTTGATGGCACAAACTCTGATGCAGTAGTCACTGACATACCCAATCTCAGAATGTTAATAGAATATGAAAATGTAAAGATGGCGCGCTATCAGCAAGAGATGATTCGCAGACGTCACGATTATTTGACATTTATTGTATTTATTCTTAAGATTTTAGCAGAACAAAATTTGCTGGTACGGTTATATGAGGAAGCTAAGGTACGTGTAGCTCAGAAGGGTAAGAAGAAAATATAACATAAAGTCGCTGGCGGATTGAAGGCAGAACGCGTGCGAGGACCTCGCCGCGTCTCCCAGTCCAGCCCCTCACGTGTGTTGCGTGCATCTGAAGATATGCAATATACATTAGCTGATTTAGATTCAGTGTACCGTGAAACCGATGACATACAACCAAGCTTCAACCTAGATTATATGGAAATAACTCCACTGGAGTTCCCCACAAATCCACATAACACATTTGTACCACCCCAACTGAGTACCTGTCAGGAAATTAATGATGATGTAGTATCAGAAATTGGAGAAGTGTTGATAGATGACACTATTGAACCTCAAAATATTCTTGGTGATGATGATGATCCAGGTACTCCAGATTTGCAAATAGACGAATCATTTTTTGATTTGCAGGATTCTACACTTGATCGTATGGAAGAATAATATTCTGTTTTAAACTAGCCATAACGAACCTTTGTAACCAATAACTTGCTGTTGTAAAGATATTGAGTCTTATCTTAGTGTTTAATGTAATAATATTATTAAATGGTAAATAAATTCCGTCTCTTACTGTAATGTAAGAATATAAATGAGCAATAATATTGAATGTGTTATTGCAAATTAGAGTCTGTGTTTCTAACATATCCTTGTCTTACAGACTTACCTCTATGCTCTCTACATGTGTTATACCATTATGATTATACTGTTTGAGATAATATTGATTAAAGGCTGATTATGTAAATTATATTTTACTTATTTAAATACCACTGTTTAAGGTCGCAATGTGATTTAAAATTAATTAAAAGTATATTATAAAATAGGTTAATAAGTGTGTAATTTACATGTTATCATTACTGATTGTATCAAACAATTAAAGAAGTCCCTATGTGTTGTAATAAAATGCAGAAGGTAAATCATAAGTACTTTTATGCTCTTTGATATTAACTGTATTCTTTCAATATCAGTGTATAATATTGATATTAGTGGATATGTTCAATAGTAGGTACTATAAATACAGTATTGTTGAACATAGGGGGCTGTTCAAGTATTACGTAAGCAGATTTATCACAATTATTTACCCCCCATCCCCCGTTGTCAGCAAAAGTAAGCAAAACTCTTACCCCCTCCCCCCATGCTTACGTAAATATCTCTCAATTAATGTATTGTTTTTTTTAGCAAAGACAATGTGAGGGTTGCCATTCGTGTAAAAAAGTAAATTACGACCGATGACGTAATCATCATACAGACTCCCCCACCCCCATGTCATCCAAAATAAGCAAAGAAAAGACCCCCCCGCCCCCCTATAGTGCTTACGTAATACTTGAACGGCCCCTAGGCACAAATATTAAAACAAAATAATATAAAACTTGTTTAGAATTAAGTAATTTATTTAGAGTTAAGTCATAGTTAACCCCTTTTTCATGTTCTCTCTCATTTTTTTACAGCAATATTTGTTTCTTTACTCGAGACATCTTTCATATTAGTAATTTGAACTTTATGAAACAACTTCTAATTTATAATTTTAATTTAATAATTCTATATAACCTTACATTGGTATTAATGTATAGAAGTAGCAACTTGGAATGATTCCAGAATAAAACAAATATAAGAAAAATATTGTGTTTTTATTTTCTATCAATAATACCGTGTATAAATGGGTACAAATACACAACCGCTATATAACAAGCAATCATACAAAAACAGCCGTTTTGTAATTTATATCACAAAAATCTAAAAGTCGCCAGTTTTGTTTCAATTGCTTGTGCTTTATATAAAATAATTTACACGTTTATAATAATCTCTGGCAGTGTACATATCGACGTGTTTCTGATACAAAAATAAATATATTTTTACGCAATATTTAATTGGTCATGGTTTCACTTAAATCACTAATTTTATAAACTATGTAATAAAGAGCGATATATATATATAGCAGTGCAAATAAATATTGAATGACGTACATGTGGAAGACACTTCAGGTACATTTAATTATGTGCTAAAATATGAATATGCGTATTAATGTATGTATTTATTTAATAAATACTTGTGTATGTTGTTTTAAAACAACAAATAATTTTTATTTTTAATATTTTCTATTATATAGTATATAAAATAAATAATAGATAATATATTGGAATATTAATAGTAAAGAAGGTAAGATAAATACGCCAAATAACTAATTATAACATATGGGCACCGTTATTTTATTGCATCTATTAATTACTGCGTAAAATTAATTATTTACATCTTATATAATTTTATCTTACATCTAAATTACAAACCTAATTAACGAAGATTTATATGTATCAAGGTTAAATGAGTAATAAATTAATGAATTTCAATGTGATGTGGCAGTGATATAAAGTTGGTACCTATATTCAGTTATTGGATTCGTACAGTTGTTCGTAAACACTAGTCTTTTTCATTCAGTTTAGGATACGATAGGGCTGATAGATGGAAATAAGCTAAAAGTCCTCTAAAATATAAATTCCTGAAGAATAATAGTCATTAAGACAAAGTGCTAGTGTTTACAAAATGAATGCACGTGACTGTACGTAATATCTCAATAACTTGGTATGATGTAGCCTATTTGTTATTTACATGTGAACTATTCGGAAGGAAAATATAATATCGTTGTATGAATGAAGAGAATTATGTACAGATATACATATATATATATATATCTATGGATACATTTTGAGCGTTCAGCTGCCTACCATGTTCTATGTCATTGCATGGATTCACTGAGATTTATAATATAAAACAGTAACATAAAATACATTTTATGTGAACTCTTTGACAATTGGTTATTTATTTCAATTATCACAGATTTATATTAGATGTGTGACCCAAAAATATCGCTATATAGGTACCTAATTAGGTACAAAAACAATACTTTCGAACAGGTTTAAACAAAAGTAGTGAATTGTCACATACAATTTTTCGTCACAATATTGTCTATTGCAACAGTTAACTAATAATCCACAGATTATAAATAGTTATATACAACTAAATTGGCTCTATGGGCTAAGTCCTTTTGCCTTTCCCTGAAAAGGGAAAACCGAACCAAAAAAAAAATACAACTATACTTGGGTTCTTGGCTTTTGTGGATAGTCTATGGTGATGTTATATAGTTATAATTTAAATTGAATCCACGTAATGAGCGAACAGAGGCTGGTATAAGTGTAGAGTTGATTTGGCGCGATGGCGCTCACGTGACAGGCTGAAGTCCTTTCGGCTTGATCATCATGGACGCTCGTTTGAGCGTGTAGTCCCAACCTCGCCAACGGAACCATACTATGCCTGTAATAGATATTATGGTTTAATATACAGTTGAAAGGTGATTTGACAGAAGAACTTATGGAGCGGCTGAAGGCCGTCTTCCGCCTGGGAATAAATAGTATTGAATTATTGTATCTATTGATAAATGTACCTTGTCTGGCAGTTAGGTCCTGTGGGTCGTGAAGATATAGTCCGTTGAGACCGCGACCACACGACTTCCACCACCAACCACCCTTTAACATTGACGCGCAGTTCAGGGATGATCTATCGTTATCTCTGTAAATTTTTAATAAACCACTTGTTATTATTACACCTGGATAGAAATCATATACAGAGTCTGACCTGGCCATAAATACTGTTACAATTAAAAATAAATAACACATTACATTTGAATTTGGAAGACTAGGCTGTTTGCCTGTTCCATCATTGAAAAGGAGATGGACGAATATGGGGAAAAAAATTGAATTTGGAATCTGTCATTATTTTATTAATGTTTGTGTTTTCTCATTTTCGCGCCAATAGGTTGTCAAATATATTTGTGCTATTAAAATGGAGTGGGGTGATAAAAAGAGCCGAATCGCTGTGATTGCATAACACAAAATACATATAAAGGCAAAGTATCGTTAATAATTATGTATTATTTGGCTGTATGATCGTTTGCCATAACCTATTGATAATAAAAATAACATTGTATCTTACCTATTGTATGTAGAGAACGGGCTGTTATTAGATCCGTACCAAGGGTCGTTCAGAGAATCGCCTGCATTGCCTTCGTATCCATCAATCTCTAGCTTATAGTATTCCGCTTCTGAATAGATTTTGAAGTGCGAATACTGCGCGTATCTGTAATGGACAGCAGTTTTGCTTATTTATACAGCAGTATATTCAGCATTTGATTATTGTATCACAATAATAATATATGTTATCCAGAAAACAGAGTCTAAAGCAACCTCTATGCAGGCCACTCTTCCCCACCGGGCGCACTGGGCACGTGCCCAGGGCTCCGCGATGGATTGGGGTCCCCTGGTCTAGTCTAGTCCCTACTCCATTACCAAATAATAACCGATAGCTACTTTAGTCTCGTCTGAAAATCAGTCTTAACAAATGCTTATTTTACAGGTTTGTTTTGAAGGTAGGGCATCACCATATACTTCCCTAAAGAGTCATGTTCAAAAATGTCTATTCTAACAAAATAGTGCTTTATTACTATGGCCTTTATCCTAATGTGCCCAGGGCAGCTAATAGGTGAAAAACTGCTCTGCCTCTATGTAATATTAACCGATCTGTGCCTCTACCATTTTACAGGACCTAAGCACATTTTACAGAGCTTAAAGTAGGCTACACTTTACATTAATATAGAAATATTTTTGGACCTTCCTTCTAATTCATAATTTTTATTAATTAAGGTAATTTATATAATAATACCTATCGATTTTTATATATATAAGTAGGTATTTTATTTTATATTTTCTGAAAATTTTATGGCAGTGAGAACCTTAACAGCATTACCTTTACCCAAATACTTTTAATTCGTTACTTAAGCCTACTTCTATTCGTCCTAATGAACTGATATAGTATATATATATATATATACATACTACCTTACCTCTTGTGTTAATACATTTTGCACTGACTAGAACTACAAATATTTTTGACATCTAAACAATATTTACGACATTTACCTTTTGTTACCATCGAAATCCTCCAGCTCAACTCTAAGCATGTAATCATCGTTGTTTGTGAGCATATATATATTTTCGTTGCCGAGCCAGAATTCCTTGCTGGGGTCTCCGAAACCGTTCTTATAGTCGCTCCAATCCCTATTAAAGTTTTCTGCGGGTACCCCAAAGTCGTCACGACGGTGTATCACCTATAAAGTACATAATTTATTAGTGCTTATCATTATTAATTTATTAAAACTTTAATGTAAATGAATATGACGGACTCAATACCTTGAGGTAATTTCTCCTAGTCAACCATTGGGCAAACAGAAATTATAAATAATTTGATTTAAAATAACAATGGTACCTATATATGACCATATTGGAATTAGTGTGTAATGAAACGCATTGTTATTTTAACCGTTTTTTAATACAACTGTCTTCAGTCTGTTTATAGTTTAAAATAAAATTCCAAAAATGTTTATTTTTATAAATGATTATAATAGCTATAAATTTATACCTCTATTTTTGAAAATTATATTGCACATAGACCTTAAGCATGTATATCACACAGTATATATATGTACTGAACATATTTAATAAACTATAACAATTGCAACTTACTGTCCACCCTCCGTCGGCTATGATCTGTTCACAGTAAACTTTCAGGAACCAATACGTGGTGCCTCTGATCTGCAAATAATATACTCCAGACTCTCTCATGCCGCCGTTCAACAGGTCAACGCACGAATAACCCTGAAAAGATACAGCATCGTTATAGACATACTTGGCAAAAAAAAAATGATTTTGCCAAGCAGAAGAGGAAACAGCACTACACATTCTTTGTGGTTGTAGTAGACAAAAACCATCGAATCCTAAGAATATCCTTTAACTCCCTCCCTCACGGGCCTAGAGATCTTTCAATATTGCCGAACACAATAGATCTATACAGGTCGAAGTATTACAGGTCTTAGCACCTAACCCAAACACCCCAATAAAAAAACATACTTTCTCTATCTCCTTCATTTTCATTTTCCTAATATAAAATTTCGTACACTGGTATGTTTACTGATATTTCTTAATTCGACGAAAGAAAAGAAAACAAAATTTTGTAAAATATTTCCATAAGCAGATAAATAATAGTAATTATATAAAAAAATATTATTTTTTACACAATCTGGTGACTTGTTACGATCGGAAAGGAAAAGTAGATAAATAATAAATAATTGTACAGAAAATTAAAATCGGGAAATATGATAAATTCAACAAAATTATAAATAAACAATTACATACTTATGAATATATATTCGCTGATGCTGTTATATTCGCATCGCTAAAATTATATAATGTATACAAACACGATATATTCAACGATATACATATATATTGACGAATATAAATGTCTTATTTTCTATATTTTTCTATAAAATCTAAACAAGTACCTGATACCATTATCATATATTTTATTACGTAAAATATATTACACTTTCTTTAATTTAAAACAAATTTACAATCAGACATTACGAAAAAAATATCTTTGATGTCCGTTTGGTCAACGAATTCAGATGCTGAATTCTTTTTGTCTTCCCTAAATTTTAAACGTTGATGGTCTTCATGGAATTACACTGTTATTATCTTCTTTATAGACTGTTACTAGGAACAAACTATATACATAACTAAAAATATGCCTGTTGCAGAATAGGAGACACACAATTCTCAATTCATCTAGATCCTATATCTTACCTAAATGTCGTTTGGCTAAAGTTAGTAATTCGTTTTATGGCAATTGAGTAAGGTTTTGCAATAAAATACCAGAGTCTGTTATAAATCTGCCAGAAAAAAGATTTAAATGTCAAATAAAACAGTTCCTTTGCAAAAAAGCTTACTATAAAATTGAAGAATTCGTTAACGATAATAATGTTTTTATAGAAAAACTATAAATCCATAGCACTGATTATCTGGTTACACTAATAATGAGTGCGTAGCGATTTCTATGTTGATTATCGCATGCCTCTTACTTGTTATACTGTAATTATTTATATAAAAAAACATCTATTAAAAAGAGCAACACACAGGATTCTTGCTCATTCTTCTTGTGAGGAATCTGCATTCCGAATGAGTGGTAGAATCAAAATATGACTATTCAAAAGTGCTTGTAATGAGTTTATTTGAATAAAGATTATTTCTATTTCTATTTCTATATTCTGTACGTTACTGAGTCGATTTTGAGATGATTTCAGAACTATTTTAGCTCGAGACTGGTTTATAAATTTAGTAGTAATTATCTTAAATTGTTGTAAAATGTATGTAACAGTGTATGAAATGAATATCTAGTATATAAATGGATGCACATACTTGCACGTGCATTTTCACATAGCGATCTTTTTATATTTGCAATACCATATTGTTGAATTTTAAAAAGAATCTTTTTTATTGTAAACATATACAACATTTATTTGAAAAAAATACAAGCTAAGTTTCTTGTCAGTTCTTCTCATCTCGAAAGCATTCCGTACTGACGGTAGATTTGACATATCACAAGAGTCTGTAATAGATATACATGAATAAAGATATTTTGAATTATAATTATAAGTATTTTAGCCACAGACTGAATTATAAGTTTAGTAGTAATTATCTTAAATTGTTGTAAAATGTATGTAACAGTGTATGAAATGAATATCTAGTATATTACTAATGCCACCGTAGATAAATGGATGCACATACTTTCACGTGCATTGTATTTTCACATAGCGTGATACGTTTTATTACCGTTCCGCTCAACTACTGTGGATTATGTTGGTATTGGAGCGATCAATTCTTTTTTTATTATATTTATAAATAGAACATATCTATACTAATATTATAAAGAGGTAAAGTTGCATGTTTGTTTGTAGGATAATCTCCAGTTCTGTTGATCCGATTTTGAAAATTCTTTCACTGTTAATAAGGTATATTATCCCCGAGTACTATAGGCTACATCAAGCTACGTCCAATATGAGCAATGAATGAAGGTAATGAAATATATAATTCATTCACTTTCTTTTAAACGAAATTAACAGTTTTAAAGAAAGATGAATAACAGTTCTCTACGTATCTTATACTTGAATATAAACAGCTCTTATATTTGTCAAGCCAGTTCATTGTACAATATTCTCCTGCAGCCAAAAACCGTAGGTGGAGGCAAAATTGCAAGGAGCTCTGTTGCTAAAGACCACAACGATACTATACCACAAGATATACCATCATAAAAGCAACGACCACCCTGCCAAAAGTGAACGACAGACGAAGAAGAAAAATATTTGTAATAATGACGACCTCGGTGGTATAGCGGTCTAGCACACCGCTTTACGTCCGATGGTCGCGGGTTCGATTCCTCGCACGGCACAAACATTTGTTTTCATGAGAATGATTGTTTGTATCGGTCTGGGTGTTTTCCATGTATAATATGTATGTATTTACGAAAAAAAAAATATCTATGTACTTGTATCAGTTATCTAGTACCCATAACACAAGCTTTAGGTAGCTTAACGTGGGTCTAGATGGTGCTGTGTTAATTGTCCTGAGATAAAAAAAAAAAGTCAATATACCAAAATACATTTAGAAAGTCAAAGAGTGTAGCTTGTTACAACAGTAGATACCTTCAATAAAATCTACTTCATGCAATAATGCCGTCCACTTAACTACACACCTACCTACATACATTTATTTTTTGTAAGTAATAAAGATACCAAAATAAGTTCTGCACGTTAGAGTTACGTAAAAAAAATGACAAATTACTAACGGCACTACTCGTAGCGGTATTTTAATACTCTAAACTGCTTTTCTTCTATTCATTTAAGTAGTATGTACCTATATGGATTTTGGCATGCCACTAAACCAAACTATTATATGAGAATAGCTGGCATTGTCTAATGAACTATTTGCTGGCCAATTTATCGGTACATTTGACTCTTTGTTCGTGTAAAGACAATAATTATTCATTCTGCAAAGTGTTTTACGTAATACATATTAGTGGATTACCTAAGAACTTTCTGATGGCCAAAATTATGTTTTAAGCTAGGGAATGTATAGATAGTAAAGAACTCGATCCTTTGGCAGTAAGTTATACATTAAAAAAAAAATTCATTCCATTTCTTCTAAATGCGATGACAGTAAGAATATTTAAGCTTACGGCTACTTTTTACCATCGCACCGCTCGCCAACGGATTCATCTCCACACGCTCTAGCGTCTATCCTAGATGGTCTCGGACAGTGTGGTTTCAGAGAAGCTTCCTCCTGCGTACACTTAGACTGTGGAATGAACTATCGGCCGAGGTTTTCTCAGCTTAGGGTTTTTCAACGCGCAGGTGAGACCCAGGCGTCTCAGGCGTCCATAGGCTACGGTAAACATTTCCTATCAGATGGGCCGTATGCTTGTTTGCCACCATCGTAGTATAAAAAAATATAATGTTCAACACCTACATTTCATTACTAGGCGTGAAGGGAATAAAACAAAATTATCAGACCACCGTGGTAAAAATAAGGTAATACAGTGCCATTTCCCACAGTTTAGTCACTGTTAGCAAAATTATTTTTATTTAAATTATTCCATGTGTAGCTTGTCATTAGCCAAAATATAATGAAAATTCTTTAACCAAGTACACTTAAATTTAGAGCAAGATACTTACGAATTGCTCAAAGACCTCAGTTTTAAGTTAAACTGTATATACAAAGTATATATAAGTAAAACATTAGATACACAAGCAACAAGTTGAGTAACTAAATAACTAAAATCAGTATTGATCAGCACCACTCATTATCATAATATAATTATGAAAAAGTTTATATTTTTATGAATTAGGTATAACACTCATAGCATCATTTAATTTATTTTAATTTAAGTAATATATATTTGTCGGATTGTAATTTGTAAGTATAAGGAAAATCACTATGCCAGTATCCTATCGTTTACTTTATTAAAGCAATTAAAGCAAGCAAGTTGGACAGTCATGAATTGACGATTTCCTGAATATATGTAGTTCAAACGCACCACGACAGAAATAAAATATTAACGATAATGTGTATTAATAGTTTATTTTAAAGTGAAAGTACATAAAATGTTTAATATTTTATGTCTAAAGAAAACGAATATGTGCCTACTAATATGCTAAAACAGTCGATGTTTTATAAATAAATTATTGTCTCGTTTGGTTCTACTTATCAGCACTTAGATGACTAGCGTTTATTGAATTAAATGTTAACTAAACTACTAAAATACTAAACTGGATCATATAACTTTCGTTTACTTAACCAACCTTTCTAGAAAAAAATATATTAACTGAAACAAAACTTTCCACGGTTTTGTTCAATTTATGTAGACATCATGGTGTTAAATGGCAATTGAAAATAAAGAATTCGAAGCAAAGAAAGTTGAGTGTTCATTACATAAATCTGGTTCATTATCCACATGCCTACACGCGTGTGCTTTCCGCGTAAGAGTAAAAACTGGTCATTCCCACCGAGCGACAATTACGAGTTATTACAACGTATTTATTGTCTTAGGGCACAAGAACAGTCGGTTATGTCGAGCGACATGATGCAACGGTGTATCGACTGTAAGTGAGTATAAACAAAACTACCTATTGCTTGTTGCAGAACTTACATTATCTTAGTAATATAAACGCGCAAGTTTGTAAGTATGGATGTTTGTTACTCTTTTTCGCAACTACTGAACGGATTTTGATGAAACTTTATAGTATCAGAATAACATATAGGCTATATTTTATTGAAATTTAACGCTAGTTCTATATATGTATTAAATTTATTAATAAGTATAATATTCTGTTCTACTTGACTACATCCTTTTTAATTATTATATTATGGCTTTTAATTGGATATATTATCCGACATGTTTTGTATTAAAATAACAGTTTTTTACGTTACATTTTCAACTGATGATTACAAAGTATATTAGTTACCTACCTGTTACTGCTTGACACATAAGAATCTATATATTGCATCACAAGAATTGGTATGGTCTATTTATGTACTGTAAGATTTGGTCACGACTGCATAATTAAATGAGTATTAATTTGAAACGATCGCCCTAAATGTATGGTTTATATCAAGGATCGTAAAGGTGGTATGAAAGAAGGCGAGATTGAGAAGATTGTACTTATGATATTATATATATATGTTTAAAAAATCTATCCACTCATTTATATTACATTATACCACTGAATCGAATGTAACTAATGTTCAAAATTGGTGAACTACGATATTTAATAAAATATGTATAGTTTTCTTTTTTTACTCTTAAGAAATCAATTAAATTCTTGAGGTAAGCCTTCTGCATTGATCCTATATTATACTCACAAAATTGCATGTGTTTCTTTTTTTATTTTCAGCAATTTTAATATGAATATTAAACCTACCTATATCTTCTTATACTCGTAACAACTAGTACAATACGTACATATCTATAGTATGTGTTAGTCTAGAATGATCTATAACATGGCTGATATGTGGACCAAACTAAATTAAAATGCGTGGAACCGTTTAAGCGTAACTGAGAAATTAAATAAAGTAGGTACATCTTTAACAAACAATTCGTTCTAATAATATAGTTAGTTTACCTAAATATACCAAAATACGTGTTATCTATGAAATTCTAATAATTTAATCCTTATATGAGTCGCAAAGTTATTTCACAATTGAATTGATTAAAATTGTATTATATCTAAACTTTAATGACATTCAGAAGGTAATCGAAATGAATATTTAACGTTGGTAGATAACTACGAGTATCAAGACTTACTATTTATCGGTATATAGACCTAGTTCAGATTGTTAATTAGTGTTAGTGGTTGCTTAATAAAGAGACGTAAAAGGCTGGAAGTAAATAGATAGCTTTCTGTGTGTCTTACTTGTCGACACCACATTGAGACTGATTAAAATTCCTCAAATGCAACTCAAGTGCTTGCAGTAATTTTGTAGATTTCACAAAATGTTACTGTTACTGACTTATATTCGATTACATACTAACACAACTTCGGCTTGGATTTCGGGTGATTTGTTGACGATCAACCGTCAATAAAATAAACAACATTTAGCAAATATACATGTAGATATCTACTTACCTATATTATATCTTTCGCAGTGGCATACATATTAATCGCAGCGTTATGATTTGTAAAGTATAATATATGTGCATTATACGACATTAACTCACTTTTACGTCCTTATAGTTGGCGACGATCTCTGATGCAAAAGTGTTATTGCCTATGATGGGTTTATTCTTGACACTCGGGAAGATGATGCCGCCTTTCCGACTGGCGGGTCGTGGGCTGGTAGCACTGGCGGACCCGTTGGAGCTGCCACTCGATGGTGTCACGGTTACTGTTGCGCTTGAGCTCCAGCCGCTCGGGCTGCTCGGACTGCATGCGACATAAACATTAGTAACCTTACAAACCTAACTTACTCTACAATATAATTATATTTTATATATATTTGGATCATCGCTTTGCCTCGCCAGCCAGTTCGCTTATAAATATAAAATGCAAATATTCGCAAATGCATACTAATAGATATAGATAGATGTCACCTGTTGTTTGCTGTCGAAGAGGGCGGAGGCGTGGTGGCAGCCATGGTGCTAGTGCTGGGGTCTGTGGACGGGTCATCAACACGGTACCGGTTTGGAGCATACTCCACTAGCCGATCAATTGTGGGATCCAAAAGTAACTCGGCGGCTACAGGTCGTTGAGCTAATGTTGCTACGTCATCTTCCTGCTTCTTCAACCTCTTTTCTACCATGTCTAAATTCTCTATGATCAAATTAGTTTTAACTCTTAAGTCGTTATGAATCTGTCCGATAGCACGCTCTTGTCGTTGTGTCTGTGTAAGTAGTTCATCTGATTTCGGCACCAAATCATCTACTGAACTTTTTGTTCCTACAACAACGTCCCATACTTCGTCCATTTTTTCTGACACACTCATCATTGGTATGATTTTGTTTACAAGAGTATCTATCTTGCTGGCCTTCGTGACTGGTGATTGTGTGCTAGTAGTTGTTCGGTTTTTGAACAAACTGTTGACATTGATCGAAGCTGCTTCGGGCTCTACTACTGCGGCGTGAACGTCCGCCATCATGTACAGTACTTTGCCCAAATTTTCGGAAACAAGATTAATATGAAATTGTAATTTACGATCAACTGTTGACATTGAAGTTCGCAATTGGTCTACTTCTTTCGTAATTTCGTTAATAACCTCCGAATTTAGACTTTTTGCGATCTCTACAACATTTAGATTAATAGGTTTCTTTTCACTTGCCTCTGCGTTAATATCATCTACAGGCAGGAAGTTATTATCTATCTGGTTCTTAAGGCCTACTAATTTAGAGTCAATATCTGAAACTTTTTGGTCGAGAGATTCTAATTTTCTATCCAATAATTGAGAATTACTTATTTTTTTTTCGAGTTGTTTTTTCGTTGCCGTGTTTTCGGTATATGTTTCTTCTCCATCATGGTCTATATGGCTGAAGAGTTTAAAGTCTAGGTTGCCCAATTTTGATATGATGGCATCCGTTTTGTGAATGTTATCATTAACTCTGGAGTCCAGGGCTTCTACTCTTCTCATTAGATGTTCCACAGCTTTATCGAGGTTTTCTATTCTTTGAAGTTTCGTTTCCAATGTGCTGACTATTACCTCAAATACGTTAAATATATACTGCTCCCTGAAACAAAATAAAAAAACGGTGTTTACAATAATATTAATACAAATTAGTTATTTAGTCCGTAACTATACTATTATTGGGACTCAACATATTACTGAAAATTTGACCCACTAAGTACATTAATCATGAGTAGTAAACTTTTCTGTTGTCTGTCTATATATCTATATATATTTATAAATTTAGCGGTAATTATTCATTTAAAAAGTACATCTTGACATCAAAATAATTAGTTACAAAACGATCAACTTACTGAGTTAACATAATACTTCTACAGTATTCCGTTATTCTCTAGAGTGGTTGCTATAACAATAGGTTATAGTGAAATTGGCATATCAGTCGGTGTTCTTACGCAATAAAGAAATAGAAACCTTAAGTATTATGCGACCTACGTGATACAAGAGCCGCGAGGCACACTTATTAACACGCTTGGACCTCCCAATGTCATTTTATGTGTACTTACTTACGCTTGTATGATTAGTAGAATAAAGACATATTTAAATAAAAAAAAACTTTTTGTCTCTTAATTTTAGACATTAATGTATTAGTAATAGGATTCATCTCGTATTGATTATTAAAATTTAAAGTATAAGGCTACATTTACAATTATTGTAGTTATCGCCAAATACTTTGCATTGATTTTCCTTAAAATGCCCACAAGACTATAGATATAAATTTCGTATTAGATACTTATGTTAAGCTGTTATTTTGTATATATGTAGTACATTTATTCTAAAACATTTCAGACAGGATACTTTACCACAATTATCTTAAAGGATTAAATATTAAACCATATTTTAGAATTTATTTATAACGACGTAACTACCAAAATGGTTAATTTAGAATTCCACATGAATTCTACATGTCACAACTTGAAATATCTCTATCTACTTCCCTTCATTACTAATAAATCCTTAAGAACATGAAATGATTACTATATAATAGGATCAATCAGTACATAACATAACAAGATATTATTATTTAAAAGTATTACAATTATAGTAAATTCCAATAATACATCGCTAAACAAGCATTCTTGGTCGATTGCACCTTCTCGAATTATTCATTAATAATGTTTTTATTAGCAGATTGATATCGCACTTGTGTTTGCATTATCTCTTTTGGTCAAAGTGACTAAAACTTAATTGAAATCTTATATAATTTTAAACTTCGAAAGTTACTTTAGCGCACCAATAAGATAATGTGCTTTAGAGTAAAGATATGAAACTATTATATAGGTAGTATTTGATTAGACGTACCTACGATAGATGGTATAACTTACCAAATGAAAAGGGTCATGAAAAATATTTTTAACAATATATTACTTTTTAATCTCCAAGAATAGGTTAGTTGTTGATTAATCGTGCAGTTTATTTGTATTGACAACTGTTAAGACAATTTGCATTTTCGTTTATTTAATCGACTTGCAAACATGCTCTTTACGAATTTATTTGACTTTCTGTCAATATTGACTATTATATTTAATTAAACTGTATAATCTCTAGCATTTAACTGCGCTGTGCCAAATTTACTGCATACTATACGTACCGTGCATGTAAATTAGTTAAATTGTAGAATAAATAATAAAACGATTACTAGTAATCGATTACTGACGAGCTCGATATTATATAGTCGACTGTAGATATATTGATAAAATCTTTACATATTTTGTTTGAAATATTATATCGAAAATATTACAAACAACATACTATACAGAAGCAAAAATATACACTTTAACTTACACGTAAATGTAACTATAAAAAATACCATAAGTTTTCAGTAGCGGAACTGGCTATCAAAAATAAAACCCCGATTTTTGCGTTATCAACACGGTCAGTGTGTTCTATTTAGCATGGTTACTTTCTGATTTTTTGAGCCAATGACCATAATTTAGATCGGTTAAGGACTAGAGCACTATTAACTTACCAATAAGCGATTCTATCTACCAAAATGCTTTGTACTTGTGATCATCATCACCTGCTTCTTCCTTATCCCATTATTTGGGGTCGGCGTAATATGTTTTTCTCTTCCATTCATCTCTGTTCGCAGTCATCTCGTTATTTACTCCCTTTCTCACCATATCATCTTTCATACAGACCATCCATCTCGGTCTTCCTCTACCCTATAAGGGTACCATCCACATTCATACGTTAACACCTTCCTTAGGATATGATCTCCGTTCCCACTCAGTACTTGTGATATACCTAACAATTAGTTTCATTCGCTCCTCCAATCTTTACCACCACACTTTATTTGGCAAATAAAATAAAAATAATTTCGATTTTAGTGCAGTAAAACTTACTTTATGTTGTAATAAGTGGCAATCCATTACGTTTTTATTAATTATTTTGATTTAATTACAGTCATAAAAACAACTATTTGTGTTACGAAATGCCTATATACAGCGTTTGATAAATATAACTTTACGTTGATTCCAAACAATACTATTGCGATAGTTTGTCATTACAAGTTAAATACACATATTGGTTTGTACAATTTTAGACATTTTTTTCTCGGTCGGTGCGATTACAAATTTCAAATATGAGATATAATGATTGTCTTGTGAGCGTAATTGTAGATTGCTGTAACGTAACGCTATATTCCATTTAATTCTACAACGTTGCTAATGATTAATGTGTTTAGTAGGAAAAGAATAGAAATTTTATATTATCAATCTCTCTGGCGGTATCGAGCCACTTAGTTTGAGGCGAGACTGCGATGCGCTTTGTATTTTCTACTGATTATACAACGGACTGTGTTCTGAGGAATTGTTAGACATGCCTACGGCCACCTTTTACCATCGCACCGCTCGCCATCGACAGGGAATTCATTCCCACACGCTGGAACCTAAGTGGTCTCGGACAGTGCGGTTTCAGAGGAGCTTCCTCCCGCGTACACTTAGGTTGTGGAATGAACTTCTTTCCGAGGTATTCTCACGAGACTACAGCATGGGGTTTTTCAAGAAAGGTATATTAAGGTTTCTTAAGGGTCGGCAACGCGCACGTGATACCCCTGGTGCTTCAGGCATCCATAGGCTAACCATTTACCATCAGATGGGCCGTATGCTTGTTTGCCACCATAGTGGTATAAAAAAAAATTACACTGTCTACACTGTTATAGATATATAGTAGGTATTTTATAAAACAAATACCTATGAATTGTAGGTGTAATACGCAATTATAATTGTAATATTAAATAATATTGTATTTTATTATTTAACTATTTAATTATTTTTTAATTTTGACGCGGTTATTGTTTATACGTATAATTTTAGTAAATCACGGTATCATGCCACAGTTTATCAATGATTATGGCGTTTGAGACACTGCCGAAATATCAGAAACTCAATAAATATAAAACGTGGTAAGATATAATATCACAGGATTTACTAATTATACGCATTAAATTCTTATTCACGTATCAAAATTCTTATAGATCATTCGAAATGTTATTTCTTCATATTCTTATTTCTAATATAAGGTAAAATCAAATTGTATTTTTTAAATTTTTTATGCTTAGCCAATAATTGTACTAATCGTTCATATATAACAATTTTATTATCTTCAAGAGAAGTTTTTAAAGTTTCGCCTTAAATTACTTTTACTTATAATTAATATATTGAAATAATAAACATAAGCACTCCTAGTTTATAATTATAGACAATTTTATTACTTGTAATTTATACACCAATTATTTAGCATTTACGAACCTGGACTCATTATTATGTAAATTTTAGTAAGTAAATTGCAAGCACTACAACTAGGGCGGTTTATGATGATTACTTTATTAAAATTGACCAAGAATAGTGAATTATTTATGTGATAAACAAACATCAATAAGCAAATTCTTAGTAACATAATATACAAATCTGCAGATTTTGCTATCAGTACACATCCTATGTGGTTGTAGCCACTACAAGCGAAATATCTCCTTTGGAAAGCTAAGCTTTCCAAATGTAAGACACTGGTGGTTTTTATCTCCTGAGTGTCTTACACTCAGGTGATAACCAAAAACCATCGCTCCTAAGAATATCCTTCAATTCTTGTCCCTGACGGGTCTTGGTAGCGAACTCTGAAAAACGGCTAGCACAATAGATCTATATAGGTCGCAGTGCTACAGGTTTAAGCACCTGATAATAGCCCAAACAACCCAATAAAAAAACATAATATAAGGTAGGTTTTTTTAAGAACTATTGTGCATACACTTAATACATGTATAAGTATATATAATCATTGCGTGACATCTTATAGTCATAAAGTATCTATAATATAAACTGTAATGTGTTTACTCTGAATTGGAGCAGGTTTATTTTAACTAGTGCAATCGCCAACATCTGATACTAACTGTATTTTTTTGTTATGGATGATAATGGAATGGTGCATGTCGCAGGCGGGTGCGCTATCGGATTACGCACCCCACTGGTGGAGGATGATAAGATGAGCATGAGGTCAGGTCAGTTAGCTCATCGTGACAAATTCACCAAGATACTATCGCGGTGGTTTCTACGGAAAACGCTTGGAGGTCAACCTGACATGGTACATTGCTAGCAATAAGGTCATCAATGCACATTACTAATAAACCCCTTTACCCCTCGGTACCTACTGTATTGCACTTATTAGTTTTTATCTATCCCTATATTAATTTTCTAAAATAAAAGAAAAAGAAGCCTAAGTTACTCCTAAGTTAAGCTACATGCCAAAAAAAAGTCCCATCAAAATTGGTCCAGCCATTTCAGAGATTAGTCGAAACAAACGGACCGACATGCGACAGAGACAGTCAAAAATTGTAAAAAATGTTATTTTGGTGTATATACCGCATTTATATTCAAATGCCTGTAGTATAAAACGGTTATTTCAATATTACAAACAGACACTCCAATTTCATTTATATGCAGGTATAGATTCTGTATCCCCCTGAAATATAACTGTTCATTCACCAATTACAGACACATATCATACATGGGACCTACATGGGATGAGACATACATGGACCAAAATATATAT